TCTAATATAACATTGCACTCTTTTTGTCTTATAACTAATAGTTATTTTCTTCTCTCTTTTTTTTTGTAATTTTTTTCTTTTTTTTATTTCTTATGTAGTATATGCTGTACAGAAATGTGTGCATATTTTAATAAATGTTAGCAGATAATGTTAAATATGCATACGTATTTATATATATGAGTGTGTGTGTGTTTACGTGTTGTTTTTGTTTCGTTCTTTATTTTTTAAACTTTGAATATATATAAATAAAAATTCGTTAGAAATATTGAACATAATATAAATAAGATCGCATAACAGAATTATTATTCTTCTCGCGACAGACCACACTCCGTAATATAATTTATATATATTATATATAGTTTTTTTTTTTATAGTTTTACTATCTTTTCTTAAGTTTTTTTCTTTTAAATTGAACTATAATAAATATGCATACATTATAATGTATCAGCGGGAGGAACAATTTTATATTTAATCGATGAAATTTTATCAATTTTGTTTTATTCTTTTCTTTTTTTTTTCTTTCTTTTTCCTAAAATCCAACTTCTTGTAAAGTTTTTGTGAAGTATATGTAAAATTATTACTTTATCTTTTTTCTCTGATTTTTTTTTTTCATTGCACAGTTTCGTCTCATTGCTGTGTATGTACTCGTTTTAAATATTTATTTATGCGTAAATATTTAATCATCTTTGTATATATATATATGTATATATAAACATATATCACACATAAAACATATAAATTATTATAATTAACAATCAGTAGGATTGAGAGGACCGAACGTGCGTAAACAAAATATACAAGTTGTAATGCACTCGATTAACCTAATTAACTATAATTACATGTGTATGTATATATATATATATATATATGTATATAAGTGTGTGTGTATGTGCATATTCGTGTTTTTTTTATATTGTTTCTTTTTCTTTTTTAAATTTTTATAATTAAATACAACGAGTCTCGACGATCGAAAATTTTCAATTCATACGATCACCTTTGCAATATTTTTTTGAATTATTATCCAAATTTATTTTTCATTATAAATGATAAAAAGAAATAAATTTTTGTTTGCAATCAATCGTCATCGGATCCCCATTGAAAATTTGTCACAATCGATCGTGAGATTTTTCGCGTCGCGAACGTGAGGTAGAGGAGGAGGGGGGAGGGATGAGCTGTACTATTATCTTCATTCTTTTACGTGTTCTTTTTTTTCTGATTTTTTAATTTTTTTAACACTAAACGTACCACGACAATTGGTAAAAATCGAATTGTTCGAAATGTTAACATGAAAATTATCTCCTCTCGATCGAATTAAAATTATTATTTAAATTATTGTATATATATATATATATATAATTATATTAATAAACTTATCAATTGTTTGAATTTCAAAAAAGAATATGACTATGATTAATATTCTTTTTCTTTTTTCTTTTACGTTAACCCACGCGCTAACCAACCGAATGTTTCATTTGACGTTAAATTTAATCAGTAAGATGAAATATTTGATATGTGTGTGTGTTAGGATAAAAATTAAATAATTATAATTAAATATTGTGTGTTGGTAGGTTTAGTGTTATAAAACGTATAGAGAGATAGGATAGAAATGGAGTAATAGATTAGTTAGATTATAATACGCGATAGATAAAGGATAGAAAGAGATAGTGCTACTCGTCGACGTAAGATCATCGTTGCTCCTTATTATAGCATAACGGAGAACATGATCGAGATTTATCGACCTATCTAAGAATTGGACAAGAGTTTACTGTGCGGGAGCCAATATATAAATGATTGGCCACGTGTTTTTAAAAGTGTCGCTGACAATTAACGTGTCATTCGCGCGCGTGCATTTACAATTTTTTTTTATTTATTTACTTCTTTCTTTCTTTTCTTTTCTTTTCTTTTGCTTCTTTAAGTGTGCTAGTAATAAATTATGACAGTTAACTATAATTACAAATTTTTATTATTACGAAGTAAATGATCAAATTAATTTGTTTTTTTTTACAATTTTTTTTTATTAACTTTTAGTTTTCTGTCGTAATTTACCAGCACATTTGACAGTATTGATTATTCTTCTTCTTATTATTATTATTAGTAGTAGTAGTATTAATATTACTATTATTATTATTATTATTATTATTATTATTATTATTATTATTATACTATGCGTTTCGTAACTTAAATTTATTTACGTGTACTGTATGATTTAAAAGTTTTTACGTTGAGAGCCAAATTTTCTTAGGACAATTTGAAAAATTAATTTATAAAATTATTCCTTTGTTAAAATTAGTAATTAGGCTCTTAAATTTGTATAATTATCAGAAAAGGATTGATATTAGATTCGAATAAAAGTTTCGTACAAATGTTAAATGAAATTAGTTATTAAATCATTGGAGAATTTTTAGCTAAAACTTTGTAAACACTTTTATAATCTATCCACGCTTATATGTATGCATATTTCTTTCTAAACAGAATTCTATTTCTAAATATTTCCCTCTCGTTATAATTCGTCGAATATATATATATATATAAATAT